CAACTTTTCAGGGAAGTCAGGAACCAATATACACAAGCAGTTAGGAAAGCAAAGGCTAGCTTTTTCAAACAGAAATTTGCATCCTGTAGCACTAACTCCAAAAAGTTTTGGGACACTGTAAAGTCCATGGAGAATAAGAGCACCTCCTCCCAACTGCCCACTGCACTGAGGCTAGGAAACACTGTCACCACCGATAAATCTGTAATAATCGAGAATTTCAACAAGCATTTTGCTACGGCTGGCCATGCTTTCCACCTGGCTACCACTACCCCGGCCACCAGCTCTGCACCCTCCGCTGCAACTTGCCCATGCCGCCCCGCCCACCCCCCGCTTCTCCTTCACACAAATTCAGACAGCTGATGTTCTGAAAGAGCTGAAAAATCTGGACCCCTATAAATCAGCTGGGCTAGACAATCTGGACCCTTTCTTTCTAAAATTAGCCACCAAAATTGTCGCAACCCCTATTACTAGCCTGTTCAAGCTCTCTTTCGTAACGTCTGAGATCCCCAGAGATTGGAAAGCTGCCGCGGTCATCCCCCTCTTCAAAGGGGGTGACACTCTAGATCCAAACTGTTACAGACCTATATCCATCCTGCCCTGCCTTTCGAAAGTATTTGAAAGACAAGTTAACAAACAGATCACCGACCATTTCGAATCCCACCGTACCTTCTCCGCTATGCAATCCGGTTTCCGAGCTGGTCATGGGTGCACCTCAGCCACGCTCAAGGTCCTAAACGATATTATAACCGCAATCGACCTGGCCAAGGCTTTCGACTCTGTCAACCACCACATTCTTATTGGCAGACTAAATCGCCTTGGTTTCTCAAATGACTGCCTCGCCTGGTTCACCAACTACTTCTCAGATAGAGTTCAATGTGTCAAATCGGAGGGCCTGTTGTCTGGACCTCTGGCAGTCTCTATGGTGGTGCCACAGGGTTCAATTCTCGGGCCGACTCTATTCTCTGTGTATATCAATGATGTCGCTCTTGCTGCTGGTGACGCTCGGATCCACCTCTATGCGGACGACACCATTTTGTATACATCTGGCTCTTCATTGGACACTGTGTTAACAAACCTCCAAACGAGCTTCAACGCCATACAACACTCCTTCTGTAGCCTCCAACTGCTCTTAAACACTAGTAAAACTAAATGCATGCTCTTCAACCGAACGCTGCTTGCACCCGACTATAATCACTACTCTCGGCGGGTCTGACCTAGAGTATGTGGACAACTACAAATACCTAGGTGTCTGGTTAGACTGTAAACTCTCCTTCCAGACTCACATTAAGCATCTCCAATCAAAAGTTAGATCTAGAATCAGCTTCCTATTTCGCAACAAAGCCTCCTTCACTCATGCTGCCAAACATGCCCTCCTAAAACTGACTATCCTACCGATCCTTGATTTTGGCGATGTAATTTACAAAATAGCCTCCAACACTCTACTCAGCAAATTGGATGTAGTCTATCACAGTGCCATCCGTTTTGTCACCAAAGCCCCATATACTACTCACCATTGTGACCTGTACGCTCTTGTTGGCTGGCCCTCACTACATATTCGTCGCCAAACCCACTGGCTCCAGGTCATCTATAAATCACTTCTAGGCAAATCCCCGCCTTATCTTAGCTCACTGGTCACCATAGCAACACCCACCCGTAGTCTGCGCTCCAGCAGGTATATCTCACTGGTCATCCCCAAAGCCAACACCTCCTTTGGCCGCCATTCCTTCCAGTTCTCTGCTGCCAATGACTGGAACGAACTGCAAAAATCTCTGAAAGCTGGAGACTCTTATCTCCCTCACTAACTTTAAGTGTCAGTTGTCAGAGTAGCTTTCCGATCACTGCACCTGTACACAGCCATTCTGAAATTAGCCCACCCAACTACCTCATCCCCATATTGTTATTTATTTTGCTAATTTGCACCCCAGTATCTCTATTTGCACATCATCTTTTGCACATCTATCATTCCAGTGTTAATACAAAATTGTAACTATTTTGCGCTATGGCCTATTTATTGCCTTACCTCCACAATTTACTACATTCGCACACACTGTATATATATTTTCTGTTGTATTTTTGACTTTATGTTTTGTTTACCCCATATGTAACTCTGTGTTGTTGTTTTTATCGCACTGCTTTGCTTTATCTTGGCCAGACTTGTTCTCAACTGGCTTACCTGGTTAAACAAAGGTTAAATAAATAAAAATAAAATAAATACATAAAAAATGGTAGGGATTAACTGAGCTGGGCTAGGGTCATTGATAAGTCATTATCTCAACGCAGCCTTATAATGCTGTGAAAGGATCCAGGAACCCAAATGATTTGGGTGGATCCCATCCTCCTTATAAAACGTGTTGAGGATCAGCAAAGTGGAGGTGTTGTTTCCTATCTTCACCACCTGGAGGCGGCCCGTCAGGAAGTCCAGGACCCAGTTGCACAGGGCGGGGTTCAGACCCAGGGCCCCGAGCTTAATGATGAGCTTGGAGGGTACTATGGTGTTGAAGGCTGAGCTGTAGTCAATGATCAGCATTCATACATCGGTATTCTTCTTGTCCAGATGGGATAGATCTGTGGATCTATTGGGGCGGTAAGCAAATTGAAGTGGGTCTAGGGTGTCAGGTAAGGTAGAGGGGATAGGATCTTTAACTAGCCTCTCAAAGCACTTCATGATGACAGAAGTGGTGCTACGGGGCGATAGTCATTTAGTTCAGTTACTTTTGCATTCTTGGGTACAGGAACAATGGTGGACATCTTGAAGCAAGTGGGGACAGCAGACTGGGATAGGGAGAGATTGAATATGTCCGTAAACACTCCAGCCAGCGGGTCTGCACATGCTCTGAGGACGCGGCTAGGGATGCCGTCTGGGCCGGCAGCCTTGCGAGGGTTAATACGCTTAAATGTCTTACTCACGTCGGCCACGGAGAACGAGAGCCCACAGTCCTTGGGAGCGGGCCACGTCGGTGGCACCGTGTTATCGTCAAAGCGGGAGAAGAAGGTGTTTAGTAATCCGTGATTGTCTATAGACCCTGCCACCTACGTCTCGTGTCTGAGCCGTTGGAATTGCGTCTCCACTTAGTGGGATAGTCATTTAGGCAGGTTATCTTGGTGTTCCTGGGTACGGGCACTATGGTGGTCTGCTTGAAACAAGTTGGTATTACAGACCGGGTCAGGCATAGGTTGAAAATGTCAGTGAAGACATTTGCCAGCTGGTCAGCGCATGCTCTGAGTACGCGTCCTGGTATTCCGTCTGGCCCCGTGGCCTTGCAAATGTTATCCTGTTTAAAGGTATTACTCACATCGGCTACGGAGAGCGAGATCACACAGTCGTCCGGAACAGCTGGTGCTCTCATGCATGGTTCAGTGTTGCTTACCTGGAAGCGATCATAAAAGGCATTTAGCTTGTCTGGTAGGCTCGCGTCGCTGGGCAGCTCGCGGCAGGGTTTCCCTTTGTAATTCGTGATATTTTGCAAGCCCTGCCACATCCGTTGAGCCTCAGAGCCGGCGTAGTAGAATTCGATCTTAGTCCTGTATTGACGCTTTGCCTGATGGCTTGTCGGAGGTCGTAGCAGGATTTCTTATAAGCGTCCGGATTAGTGTCCCGCTCCTTGAAAGCTGCAGCTCTAGCCTTTAGCTCAGTGTGGATATTGCCTGTAATCCATGGCTTCTGGTTGGGGTATGTACGTATGGTCACTGGGGGGATGACGTTGTTGATGCTCTTATTAATGAAGCCAGTGACTGATGTGGTAAACACCTCAATGTTATTGGATTAATCCCGGAACATATTCCTGTCTGGCTAGCAAAACAGTCCTGTAACTTAGCATCTGCTTCATTGGACCACTTCCGTATTGAGTGCGTCACTACTTCCTGTTTTTGCTTGGAAGCAGGAGGATAGAGTTGTAGTCTGATTTGCCAAAGGGAGGGCGAGGGAGGGCCTTGTATGCGTTTTCGTATGTGGAGTAAAAGTGATTTAGAGTTTTGTCGCCTCTAGTTGCACAGGTGACATGCTGGTAAAAAATTAAGTTAAACGGATTTCAGTTTCCCTGCATTAAAATCACCGGCCACGAGAAACGCCACCTCTGGATGTGCATTTTCTTGTTTGCTTATGGCCCTATACAGCGTGGTCTTAGTGCCAGCATCGGTTTGTGGTGGTAAATAGACAGCTACCAAAAAAAACATTACATAAATTGGTAAATTGTATGGTCTGCTGCTTATCATGAGGTATTCTAACTAAGGCGAGCAAAAACTTGAGACTTCATTAACATTAGAGATCGCGCACCAGTTGTTGTAAACAAAGAGACACACCCCTCCTCCCTTCATCTTACCCGAGTCTGCCGTCCGGTCTTGATGTATAGCAAAACCAGCGAGATGTATATTATCCATGTCCTCGTTCAGCCACGACTCTGAGAAACAGAATATTACCGTTTTTCAGGTCCTGTTAATAGGATAGTCTCGAACGGAGCTCATCCAGTTTGTTCTCCAGTGACTGCATGTTCACCAATAGAACAGAGGGCAATGACAGTCTATTTGCTCGCCGACGTACAGTAGTCCAGTCAGGATGCTGCCTCACCTGCCTCTCTTTCGAAATCGAGGTTAGTGATCGCTGTTCTGATGTCCAGAATCTGTTTCCGGTCATAGGAAATGATGGCAGAGAAATAATGTAAAAAATAATCATTTACAATCATTTACAAAAACCCACAAAATAGCAGAATTGGTCAGGAGCCCGTAAGACTGCTACTATCCACTGCAGCGCCATCTTGGTTTCGTAACTAACTGTAGGATTTGTTATGTCTTTGAGGAGCTTGTAATACATTCAGGGCCATTTTTATTTTGTGTGAATTAAGCAAGAATTTTAAGAAATTCAAATTGCCATTATAAGAGCTCAACAGTAGGTTTTAAGCTATCCACTATATTTAACCAATAAATGCGTTTAATTGTTAACATATTGATATTATTGTGCTATTTGGAATCAGTGGCCACTTAGTCCCCTCTTTTCCCCCATGTAGGACCACCCAAACTATGACCAGTCTGTGTGTCACGCCTTTGTTCAGGACGTCTGTGATGAGGTGGGCTACTTTCCGTTCCCTCCACTGAGCCTGGATGTTATTCTGCTGGTCTTCGTGCTCTCCTCCATTCACCCCAAGCGGTAGGTGATGGTTAGGAGACAAAGGCAGGAGCGCCAACTCTCATTTATCACCTCCCCATGCTTTGTCTGAATGTCATTACTAATCCAACCCTCTCCACCCTCCAAAAACAGGCCCTCTCTCACACTCTGAGGTTATGCTATTTTGTACTACCGTATGTGTTTTGAATCAAGATCATTCTGGGTTTATTTATACAGATTATATGCATTTGCTAATTGCAAATGTTTTGTGTGGTGCTTGTATGATAAGGCAGTTGCAAGTGAATACACAAAATACCCATTGAAATAGCATGCTGCTTCAGATCAGTTTAGAATGTAAGGTCTGGTGTACTGTTCATGTAGCTAACCCCATCCCTTTAAAAGTAGCAAAGAATATGGGAGCCTGGCGGGTAGGCGTGTTGGGCTAGTAACTGAAAGGTTACTGGATTTAATCCCAGAGCCGACAAGGTAAAAATCTGTTGTTCTGCCCATGAGCAAGGCAGTTAATCCCCAACAACAAATGCTCCCCTGGCGCTGATGACGTGGCTGTCAATTTAAGGCAGCCCCCCGCACCTCTCTGATTCAGAGGGGTTGGGTTGAATGCGGAAGACACATATCAGTTGAATGCATTCAGTTGTACAACTGACTAGGTATCCCCCTTTCCCCTCATATATAGTACTGTATGTGCCTATTTGCAGCCTATTTATGATTCACTTCAAAATGGCATTAAGTCTAACTGCAGATCCATTTGCACTGGGTATTTGGATGCTTGCTTTTTGTAACAAACAGTGACATTTCACTTCATACTGAGGCCCCTGAAGATTGCAGCTGATTAGAATTATGGATATAGCTGGCTCGCAGCCAGCTCTCACAGCAAGCCGTAATAGATTTTCCTGTATTCCATCACTTTTCATTTTATATTTGATGTGGAGGTAAGTTGGTTCTGTCCTGGGGTTTCATCTCAGTACCTCCTGCCATTTTCTTGCTGTGTAAAATCTTTAATGGTTCAGGTTGTTATTGAGCTCTAAGTGAGTATTGAGTGTAGTGCCAGGAGTATCATGGAGCATATTGTCTCTACTATGGGCCATTGATTGCTGATTCGCTTCGGTCATTAGAAGCAGCTTGTTACTGTATTTATCAGTCACAACATAAGACAAAGTCAAAAGGCTTCTACTGCAGGCATTTTCTGTGGGTGTATAACTGTGTGGTTTTGAAATATGCTGTGTCTCTAGCTAACTAACTTTCTGTCTGAAATCACAGCTGAGATGCTACAGTACATTTGGCAACTGAACAGCTAACATATTGGGGAGGAGAGTACAGTCAAATTCTTACCCCTTTTCTCCCTTGTAAAAACCTTACAGCTTGTACAGTACTGTATATGTTAATTTCCTGGGAAGCCTTGCTCTGGAATGATAAAATGAACATCTCTGAAAATGTCTATCCTTATGAAGTTTTGCATCAACTGCTCAATTTTGTGTATCATACCTTTGCAAATGAAAACAAACTCAGAATCTCTTATTATTTTGAGAAGGAAACTGATTAATTGATTGGTTGGTCGTTTGATTGATTTCTTTGACAGAGTCCAAGGAGTTGTTACCCGGTTGTCTCAATTCCTGAAACCCGGAGGGATATTCCTCTTCCGGGATTATGGCAGATATGATTTATCACAACTACGGTTTAAAAAAGGTGGCTTTCTAATCTTAACTTTATTTAAAGTGCATTTTCACAAAGTATACACTTGACAGAGGAAATAAATATAATAAAAATGGGGGAAACAGCAGATCATAATCATTTGAAATAGGTAGGCAGTTCATACTTAGTAGTGAATACATTTTACTGTCTAAAGTGGCTATTTGTTAATAATGACAGTGAGATCTTTTCTCTGCTCAACAGGTCGGTGCTTGTCAGAGAATTTCTACTCAAGGGGAGATGGAACTTGTGTTTATTTCTTCACAAAAGGTAAATTGATTCAAAAGTCTCTGTAAATATTGTATCTCTGAATATTGTGTGTAGACATAATTTCAAGTCTAATCTCAAATAATTTAGTGGTGGTAATATTATGTTACTCTTACCACAGATGAAGTTCACCATTTATTTTCCAATGCTGGTTTGGAAGAAATTCAGAATCTGGAGGATAGGCGACTACAGGTGAACAGAGGGAAGAAAGTTGTAATGCACAGAGTGTGGATGCAAAGCAAGTTCAAAAAACCTCAACCACTAGCACCACCATCGTAGTCTACCAACACTGTCCCTGCTCGGACGAACATGTTGCCCCAGGTTGGCTTTACCACGGACTCGTCTATCCAGATCAGAGGTCAGAAGCAGGTCATAAGCATGTCTCAGTGCAGTGAGATGTGTCCGTGTGATGCATTTACAGTATCACTGGGATGGTCCACTATCGTGCTGAGGGAGTGGCCAACTATCGTGCTGAGGGAGTGGCCAACTATCGTGCTAAGGGAGTGGCCAACTATCGTGCTGAGGGAGTGGCCAACTATCGTGCTGAGGGAGTGGCCAACTATCGTGCTGAGGGAGTGGTCAACTATCGGGCTGAGGGAGTGGTCAACTATTGTGCAAAGGAAGTACCTTCTGGTTGTTGTGTGCTTATTATGGGTTTCAAATGCCATGTATGTAAAACCCACTTTTTGTAAGAAGACCAATTTAATTTATTTGTCTGGTTGAGTGTATGCATGCATATAAATATTTAATTAAACATTTTTATATGTTGTGTAAACCCATAAAATGAAAATCTGTGAATGATACTGTCATAAAAGTTGGATATCTAACAATGCATTAAAATTGCACCTACTATAGTTGTAGTTGAGTGATTGATTTCCAATTATTTGCACACAACAGAAATATAACTCACAATAAGTTGTATGTTCTTTCTCAGTAGATGAAATTTATGGATTATATACATTAAACTTTTGACATTATGGTAGTACCTAAATGTTAATGAATTGTGGTGATGCAGATTCTTGAATTGTGCCAATGTATCCCATTTCTGGCACCTGGTATCTGTGTTTTGTACCTATATGCTAAGCAATATGTAATATCTGATTGATATCAAATGGAAATGCAACTCATTTATTTGGTAATGCAGTGAACAAAATCAAAAGCACAAAAACCATATTTAATTGAAATGTTATTTCAATTAATCAAATGCAGAGTAAATTAGTTTATGGATAATATTCTGAAAGTAAATTATAAACTGGTTTATTTTAACGTCCTATTTCAATTGGTATTTACCTAACATTTATCATGAAAGGACATGACAACTATTAAATAGTATGGGTATTTTCTGATACTTACAGTACCTTCAACCCAGTTCATAACTACATGGATGGTAACAATAGTAGTTGCAAATAAATACCAGGTCAATAGTGGACTGCAAAACAATCCAGAACCAAAAATGTAACTTGATGACCAATTAATCTTTAAATAGTAGGCCTAGCCCTAGGCATAACACTGGAGACACACTAGGGCTTTCCTCTGTAGCCAGTCAGTCAGTGCTTGACTTGGTCAGGAGCTCACCGGAGTCGAGTACCGGCACCTCTTACAGTATGTTCTGCTTGAGATCCTGTTCTTCTAGAATATTAGCTCAAAAGTATTGTGGAGCTCCTGCACCGAAATATACCGGTACCTATTTTAGTCCAAGTCAAGCACTGTCTGTAGTATCTTGCGCTTTGACTTTGTCTTGCTTCTGCCGCCCCTCCGTGTTGTGCAGTTTGGTCCAGGGTATCCCTCTAGTGCCTCCTCTGGTTCCCTGCGCCTCTTGCTGGGGCTGGGGCCAGCCTGGTGGCTCTCGTCTCCCCGAGTCAGACTGCTGTGGCTGGGCTGGGGGTGGTAGCTCTGGAGCCTTTCCATGGGTTGCATCCAGAATGGGCCAGGCTGGTGGGTCTCGAATCCCCGATATGGAGTGCTGCAGCTGGGCTGGAGGCTGGGGCTCCTGGGGGTCTCTCTATAGCTCACGTTGTCTTCTCTTTCTGGAGGGTATGGATGAGCAGGAGGAAGGTGGGACAGGAGATGGTTGATGTTCATGGCTCCTGGTAGACCCCACTGAGGATGATGAGCTGGAAGGCAGGTATGGATGAAGGCACTTTGGGTGTCTTGGAGGTCTCGTTGCGGCTGAGACAGAGGATGAGCAGGTGCGCAGGCCTGAAGACCGGGCAGGCCTAAACCCCGGGTGCTCCTTACGTGAGGGGCCTGACTGGTTCCACCACCATGGGAGGAGGAGAGGGACAACGCCTGATTATCTTGCTGTAGAGGAGGCTACAGTCCTGCCGGGGTTCCCAGCTGGACAGGAGAGCAGCCAGGCTGGGGAAGGGCAGCTGACCCAGGGCACACTGGTAGCCCTCAGAGCCCTGGAGCATGTGCCCTCATTGGAGACCTGCAATACAATACAACTTTATTGTCCATATGTTACAGTGAACAACAGAAATGTGTGTTCTGCTCAATTCTCAACCACCCACCCCCCAGATAGCACACAACACACAGACCTGGCAGGAGACATAGTGGAGAAAGTTGGCTTGGAGGTGGTCAGTGCATCTGCCTTGCCTTGATCCCAGTTTCGCCTCAAGGCTGTCAGGGACGGGGTAGAGACAATGGGCCCTAAAAGGCTCCTGGTCCTGCTGATCATTGTGGACTGGGCTGGGGGAGGATGGCTCCTCAGATACCTACACCAATAGAGGAGGAAGAGACGGACACAGTCTGATCATGTCACTGTGGAGGCGGTTACAGTCCGCGCTGTGCCTATAGCTGTCCAATAGGTGGGCTTTGAGGGCAGCAAAGCTGGGGAGGGGCAGCCCTGGTAGTCTGGTCCCTCAGTGAGATCCTGGTGGATGCAGACACAGTAGCGGAAGCCAGCCTGAAGGTGGTCTGGAACTCTGGAGGTGCCTGCTCTCCCCAGCTTCACCTCAAGGTCGTCCGGGACGGGGTAGAGGCATTCTGGTTCGGCCTTCTGGTTCTGCTGATTACTAGACGCTGGGCTGGACAAGGCTGGTTCCTCAGGAGAATACACTGTGGATGGAAGACAGACAGAAGTCTGTCCCAAATGGCACCCTATTCCCTATATAATGCATTACTTTTGACCAGAGCCCTGTATAGGGAATAGGTGCCATTTAGGATGCACACAAAGTCAAGCCAGAACTTGGAAATGTATGCTGGCTGACTTTTTACAGAGAAGAAGTAACATTCAACAAATACATCATGCTGTATTTAATCAACTTTGTATGGAAATACATTCTAAAATAATAATTAAAAGTCGATTTTTGCCACCAAAATCTTTGTAGTCTTACCACTTCGTACATCACAGGAGGTTGGTGGCACCTTCATTGGGGAGAACGGGCTAGTGGTAATGGCTGGAGCGGTATCAAATACATCAAACACATGGTTTCCATGTGTTTGATGCCATTACATTTGCGCCATTCTAGCAATTATTATGAGCCGTCCTCCCCTCAGCAGCCACAACTGTTGTACACCCACTTCTTGGCTGAGGATGATGGATTGAAAAAGTATGTTGGATTCCATTGTAACTGACACACATCTGCTCTTTGAAAATAATGTTTGAATTATGAAATGATTTGCATGTCTGGTGAAAAGAGCGTTCCAGTGTAATATTTTGTTATGTTTCACTGGGAAATAATGTGAAAATTAGGAAACATTGGAACCCTGATGTCATAATAGGACTACTCGGTTTTTTTGACAGTCCTACCTGAAACAGAACCAAACATGTGACTTTTTCAACAAAGAAACATGCTTACTAATGTATTTTTTAAATTTGTAATTGTATTATTTTTAAGTGTTAAAATATATTTCATGGTATTTAATAAATATTATTCAGTAGCTATTATTGTAATTTTATGTTTGCTTATTGTCTAACTCTAGGGCAAAAAAAACGTTTAGGTAGATCATAGTGTGAAAAGTGCTTGGAAGCTAATTTATTATTGTAACAGATACTGATGGAAATAGTGGGTAATTTTTTCATTCAATTTTGACACCATACAGCTAGCTAGAGTTGAATCAATAGGCCTATGCAAGTGTTAAAATATTCTCAAATTTTGATAGAATTCAATAGGCTACATTTTATTCCATATTTTCGTGTGTGTGTGCATGTTTATGTACTGCTATATCAATTTCTAAATTAAATGAATCACGTTGTGTGTGTGTGTGAGACAAAGCAAGATAGAGTTTGTGGTGATTTTGTTGATTGGAGAGTTTTGTTGATGTGAGTTGGTGCCTGTTTGATGACATCTGGTTGACATCAGATTTAATTAATTAATTAATTCAATTCAATCCATTAAAGGGGCAATCTGGGATTGGTACATCCATTTTTTTGACATTTGAATTATTACTATATAGCCATTGATTCTTGTAGAATGTAACTTAGAAATGCCTCATGAGCAACGGTTAGAACCCAAAATATAAGCTTGTTTTACTCCATTGTTTGTAGAAAATGTAATTGTAAACAAACACTGTATAGCTTCAGAACATGGTTAAAACTATAATTTTGTTCTCATGGATGGTCAGTCCTTGCATCCATATGTGAAGTCCTTGCGTCTATGTATTTGACAGTGGTTACATTTCTCCTGCCACATTCCTCAGCTGTTTACCAAATAAAGTGGTGGAGAAAATGCTTTGTTAATGTTTGAATCCCAGATTGCCCCTTTAAAATGGGTCAAACTGAAGGACTATTCAATGATCCAAACTACTATCTAATAATTAGGACTTACATATCTCATAATAATGACTTACTATTTCATAATAATGACTTACTATGTCATAATTATGACTTGCTATTGCTATCTCACAATAATGACTTGCTATCTCATAATTACGACTTACTATCTCACAATAATGACTTGCTATCTCATAATTATGACTTACTATGTCATAATTATGACTTACTATCGCATAATTCTGACTTACTATCTCATAATTCTGACTTACTATCTCATAATTCAGATTTACTATCTCATTACTGATTTACTAACTCCTAGTCATAATTATTTTGGGGGTGGCGGGAACGGGCTTCCATATATTGTATATCAGTTATACGTTCTCTTTCACACATACTTTTGATGGCTTTTTCACCAGTGACATTTTGCCTGGGTGCATGAACCTCGCGATAATGTTTGCACACGATGCGTGACGCTTGAAGTAAGGTACAACAGCACAGGGCACTTCCAGACGCACTGCAGAGGTGTGAGGAGGTTTATGTCCAAAATGTTAAATTTCAACATTTTGTGAGGTTACCGGTGGCAGCTGGGCTTATGTCTAAACATTACCAGGTTTCAAAAATCGAGATTTTACTGCCACTGACAGCGGCGTTTGTTTGCTTTGTCGTTTCAAAAAGTAGCTTGATGAGTGTCCAAAGTAACATTGGAAGTTTGGAGGGGACGCCATCTTGGCCCTAGCTCTCCACGTCCCCGACAACAAGGGTTGCTTTCTCAGCAACAAATCACGGCAGTGGTGAAGGCCAAGGAAGGTACTGTAAAATAATATTGGAAGCAAAAGTACTTGCTACATGTTTTGTGAGTCGTTTTGTGGTACGTGCTAAGAATCGTCTTGAAATTAATTGCGACTGAGTTACACGGAAGCCTGCATGATGGGCAGCTGCCTGCTAACGTTAGCTAGCCACTACAGTGCTAACTGGTGGTGTCTGACTGCAAATGTCCATGAGAAATAGTATGATGCAAGCTAGCTAATTAGTTAACGTTAAGCACGGTACTGTAAACTACTGGTACTTTGCTCGTGATATAAGTTAATTAATTATTTACATGCTGAAGTGGAGTAGCGAGCTAGCTAGTTGCCTTACTGGCTAGCAAGTTTCCGATACAGAATTTGCTATCAGGTAGCTAGCTAACGTTACTACTAACTAGCTGTCTCTACCGGCTACAAAGACAATGTTGGCTATTACTTTATCGGTTGTTAAATGTTATATTTGCTAGCCAACCAGCTAAGATGTCTGATTTAAAACAGGGACGTGACATGGAGGACCCATGGATTCAGTATTGCGATATTTTCATGCGATTCTGTGGACTACATGAATATATACAGTAGTCAGCTAGAATGATTTACTCCTTATCGATATCTAGCTAATGTAATAGTGTTTGGCGACCGTCCTTGCCTTTTTTTTGTACATTACATTTTAGTCATTTAGCAGACGCTCTTATCCAGAGCGACTTACAGTTAGACATGAAGTTGGGATTGTATGTTTTTATATTGCAGTAATCAGCTAAGTACAATTGTGTCATGAAAACCCACTGTGCAATGGAGCATATCAGATTCAGAAACTGGTGTTTGTAATCAGAATTTTATTGCACTCATTGACTATCAAGAACAGTATAAGTGACTATCAAGTATCCATCAACTATTACTGTGCTAAAAACAGCACAGCATGCACATTAAATGGTTTGTGTGGACAGGACGGTGGCAATAGTTTGTAATAGGGCAGTGGATTACTCGGTATGAAAATGTATGCACTCACTAACTGTAAGTCGCTCTGGATAAGAGCGTCTGCTAAATGACTAAAATGTGTAAATTACTTTCGGCAAGTAATCAGCCTAAATGTTCTGCATGAGAACTCAAGTCTTTGTGATGGTCTTTGCATGCCTTGTTATTGTTGTGATCTTTGTTTGCACCAGGTAGCAGTACATGTTATTATTATTATTATTATTATTATGTTCTGTCAGCAGTGATGCACTGATTTCTAGACATTGTGATGGTCACATTCCTTAGATGTCTATATTTTCTGAGCAAAATAAAACATAACAAATAAAAAATAACAATAATAGTCTTGGACATAAGACTGTAAAATCACCAGGAAACTATTTCAAAGTAATTTTAATTTAGGGAATCTGTTCCCATGCATAAATAGAGGCATATTTCATCATATCCCAATGTTATTAAGGTTTGAAATGATTCTGTTTTTGTCAAATACTACATCTGTTTGGGATTCTTGCGGTCAATTTGCAGAGTACAAATTATTTCTAACTATAACCAGGTTTCCATCCAACTTTTTTATGGGAGTAAAGTACTGTTGGATAAAAAAGGTAATGACAGGCCTAATAGAAACAGCAAAGTTGTCTGTAAACGTTCAACATGTTGACAAAACAAAATACACTAGCAAGGTGGGATCTTTTTGTTGGTAAAATTATGGCTTTATGTGCAAATATTAATATAATAACCATCATATAGAAGTACATTTGAAGTCATGCGATGATATGGTGTGTGGTCCTCCGCTACGACTTGGGAAACCATGCAGTTTGTTAGGCTACATATAAAATAAGATATATGAACTTCACAAGGTGGTGAAAGTGCACGCGGTTGATTCAGCGTTCTAATAAATATCTGGAGACATGATCGATGCTTGGCTGGCATTTGGCAAATAAAAAATAATCTCACTCTTTTGTCCATAGTAATCTCATGTAGGCTATCGTAACCGCACTGTATCTGCGATCTGTTGGCTAAAGTGCACGTGCCAAGACCAGAGTGGGCACATTAGCGATGTAACTCACATTTTCAACAGTAGAGTTGAAAATGTAATGGAAACCCATTTAATAACTTATATTCTTTATTTGGTACATGGGAATTTAACCGCAAAAGTTATTTTCACGTGCACTAGGTCATCACAAACAGCCTTTCATCCGCAACAGGTCAATTTGATGGAAACACATCTCTGGTGGCAAAATGCGCATATTGTTTTTATGCGGATGCACGTTTTGGAGGGGGCCAGGACCGAGTTTCCTGAAATTCCACGTTTTGTCATGGGGCTGAGAGAGAAATTGCTGTTTTAAAGCTAATTTCCTGACAAATCTGCACATTCAATGGGGGCCCATGGTTCAGAACAGTTTGAAAAGTGTTCTATAGCACCTGTCTGTCTGCTTCATTTCAATCCTAAAATCATTAGGCAATCTGTGAAGGGGATAATGATATTTGGCAGCAAGCATTATCATTAACTCTGCTACATCCTTGTTACATGACATTTCTCAAGTTACTTCATGATGCACTGAAATA